GATTAAACATTGGAACAGGCTATTCAGGGAGGTGGTGGCATCACCATCCCCGGAGGCCTTCAAGGAACTACTGGATGTGGCACTCAGTGCCCTGGTCTAGTTGACATGGTGGTGACTGGTCAAAGGTTGGACTCGATCATCTCAGAGGTCTTTTCCAACCTAATTGATTCTGTGAACTGACAGCAAGAGCTGACTTCTAACTCAGCTAAGCAGTGTATACATCCCCCACCCCCAAAATAACCCAAATCCAGGAATATTAAATCCACCATCTGTCACCAGCACACTCAACAAGCAAGCAAGGAAAATAACCAAATTATCTGCCTTTGCATAAATGTGGGTTATTGTAGCAATTACACAGGCCTTGTAGAAAATGGCTCATTTCCTTGCCAGAGAAATATTTATTTTGTGCCCCTCTTCCTCTGTGTCATTTATCTGAGCTGTGTCACTTAATCTCATTTTGCCTTGCTGCTTTCCAGCTACAACAAATGTAAAAAAGAGCTTGAGGCTGATATATTCGTTGCTGCACCAACTCATGAGAGACTTACATGGGGAGGATATTTATTCACCTCAGGAAAAAGGCTTCTTCTCATAGAGGGTGGGGATGCTCTTGATGTGAGAAGACAAAAATTGACCAGCTGCTACAACAAGCATTATCTCCTCTGGATTAATGCACTTCTTCCACTGATGCTTAGCTATTACCCTACATGAAAAAGAAAAACATTTCAAGCAATTCCAACGTTTAGAACAACAATGAAGGCAAATGTTATGTTAATAACTGAATTGCATTTATTTTTAACCGAGTTCCATTGATTTGAACATGAGAGTAGAATGCTGCTCCTCACACAGCTGTTTTTGAAGAGAGACAGAACAGGCAACGCTTTTGTTCATCATTAGAAATTATTACTTTGAAGGACTGACTTCACAACAACTGAAAGACACGCTGTTCAACTCATTTTAGAGCACTTCTTCCTTCTACTGCCAACATATTTAAATATCCAAGCCTGCCCTGCTGCCTGAAGCACATCCACAATCTTCCAGGGGCCTAAACTTCCACAGGCTCAGATCCACCATCCCTAGCCCTACATCCATCCAGCACACATTCCAAAAGCAGACAGCACAGTTGCATCGAGACTTTTTGAGAGCTTAACCCATAAATACTTGCAGGAAAAGAATGTACAGAAACAGAAAGCAGCACCGGTATCATCTGAGGTAAGGTTGCTGTGGAATTTTCTTTTGCACAAAGAGCTGGGAGGGGAACAAGGCAAACCTGTTACACCAGCATGGGCAGGGAAACCTGTCCACACCAAGAGATAGAAATGCTCCACCAGTTCCAGAAAGATAAAGGCCAGAAATACAAGTTTTGTATTATGATGGTACATTTGAATAAACAATGCAAAAAACTATGACAAGGTATCAACATCTGCTGAAGACAAAACCTAAATAAAATTAATTCTAGATGCTTCTAGAACAGGACTTTCTTTGACTATCTTTATTGTTTAGCCTGAAACTCTCCAAGGCAGGGACTGCCACTTCCATTATTACTTTCAGTTGTACAGTGCCCAAAACAACAGGGCCTGCAGCTTGGCTAGTCCCTAATTACTAATGTAATTAGAAATGACAGGAGCATTAAGAGCCCTTTATGCTGAAGTAGATGCTGGAAAGCTCAGTAGTTCTCAGTCTCAAAAAATAACTCCGAATGACACTTATAAGTTGCATTGTCTAGCCCTTATTTATTTAGTTTGCATAATCCATATCTCAGCAACACAGAAGTAGGAGTTCTCCCTCAGCCACCCTGAGAATAAGACCATGCAGATCTGTTTTCCAGATATGGGCCTATTCCTGTAAATTCTCTGTGTTTACCTCTCCTGTTGTTATGATTCAGAACACTCCCAGATTCAGCTCATAATTCCAAACAGAAGCAATTCCCTTTTTAGAAAGCCAAGACTTTGTTTAGGAAACCCCAATCCCACTTGAAAATTGCCAGATTAGCTGCTAAGTGGTTGAGAAACTACAGAAAGGAGATAAAACAAATCCCTAAACTGCAGTTCAATCTAAGCCCTTTTGTCTGTGTTTGTTTACTTATGCAGAGCAAGAAAAATCACAACTTTCAGAGCACATAAAGCACTTCCAGCTTCCAGGACAGAGCAGGAAGAAGACCTACCTTTCCTCCCAGAGTTATCACCCTTACAGCTGCTTCCCTTTGATTTTATAACTCTACCCAAATCATCCACGTCCAAGATAAGGAACATGGATGCTGCTTGTAACCTCTCATACACTGGGACTGAACCAGCACCAGGAAAGGAAGAGGACACACCTTTCCTTGAGGCCATCACCATCACAGCTGTTTCCTTTCTGCTGTTACAACACTACACACGTCACTCAGACACACAGCTTGGGACCTTGGTGCTCTTTAATGCCCCATCAAGGCCCAGAGGGGACTGATAAAGACCTGATAAACCCCTGAGAAACCATAACGGGCCTGGCCAGCCCCAGCTGGGGCCTCTGCCCGTGCACCCAGGAGCTCCATTTAAGCTTTGGTCTGAAGGCTCAGTTGTTTTGCCCCATGTTGAAGGGGGTCGTGACTCCAGCTCAGCCTATGCCTGGTTATAAACCCTGTTGATGTGGAGCCTGGCTCAGTCTGGCCTTTTTTCAGACCTGCCCCATCCCTGAGGATGCACATTGTTAGGCTGTGACTGACATGAGTTACCATCACCCAAACTGCAGATTGACTTCTCAGCTCAGCCGTGCCCCTGTCTCATGGCTGGGAACTCACCAGATGACCTGGATTGTGGCTGTTTTCACCTCCAACCCCTGGCTCTGCTCTTGTCTCCTTGCCCTGTGTCTGGTTTATCTTGATCATCTCCCCACTCTATACTTGTACCAATCTCAATAGTTGCCCATGATACACTAAAAAAAATCCAACAAAACAACTAGAATCTGTGAAGGGTTCTAATTAGATGTTTGCTTACAATGACCGAGTAAAGAAAAAGATATCCAGGCTAAGAATAACTAGATGTGCTGGAACAGTACATTTAGAGCGTAGAGAATCCTGTCTGGGAGCTACAAAGAAAACATATCAATAAAGTGATGAGAGTTTCTGTTACATGATGGACAGCAGCTGGTTTGCATATTTGATAGAGATGTAAATTTAGGTACAGGCATCTTTTAATGCAAAAAGTCTTAGAGGAATGCATAGACAAAGTAAGCATGCTATAAATTCTATTTTTGTGATCATTTAGTGTAGGTAAATGGAGTTCGTTACTACGATATGCTAATAGCTGGAGAAATATTGGAAAAAAATAAAGATCTTCTGGCAGTTTCTAGTCTGGGGCATAAAAATCCCTGATTTCTCTAAGGAATCACCCTCAGACTAAGAAAGGCTCTTCAGATGAATCAATACCCAGAACTGCAGGGAAATGCCACGTGCTCTTTGACCACTCGAGCAGTCAAAGTGTGCCTGATACTTGGGAGTGGAACAAGGCAGGACACCCTGTGCCACAGCTGTGCTTGCAAAGCAGCTGTTTCTTAGGAATCAAACCCCTCCAGGTTTCCCACGCACAGGAATTGTAATCGTTACAACATAAAAAAAAACCTCTCAGAACTAATTCCAAGGGAATATCTGGACCAGAGTTTTTTAGAATAAATCATCTGATGTTCGTAGTTCCATAAGTTTCTTACAACCCGTGTTGTGCAGCTCTGTGCAGCTCTAGGGCTGATGCTGCCAGGACATCTAGTGGCACCCACATGTACTGCCCAGAGAAGGAATATTACCAGAAAAACAGATTCTTTTTCCTGCTTCCAGAGATTTTCTGGTACCAGTCCAGGTTTCGTTGGCTGACGGCAAAATTTCTGTGTTTATTTTATTATCTAAGAATATAAAAGGGGGAAATGAAATTGCCAGAAGAAATGCACGGTAACATCTGAATCATCTCTCTAAATAAAGACGGGACGTTCTACATAATCATGATAAAATAAAGGTCAAGGCTATTTATTATTCTCCTTCTTTTCACCCTTATTTGCATTTTGCTGTTCACCTGGTCCAGTCCAATCGTTTCCCTATGTCTAGGCAACAGAACTTGCACTGTTGTGACTTCATACACTGAAAAGGAAAATCAGAATGTCTGAATTCCAGGAGCTGACAGGACAGGGCTCCCCACTTACGAACTACATTTATTTACATTCATTGCTTCCCATTCCATAGTCCTTCAATTTTTATTTTTTTTTTTTTTAGCAATGTGTTAACCAAAAAGACATTCAATTTCTGCTATTCTTATTCACTTGGCTTCTTGTGTTACTCTCAGTTTGAGCAAGAAAAGTCATGGAAAGCAAGTCCAATCTGCTTGTTGTTTCATTTTTAAGTGGGACTACAGCTACTAGTTTAAATATTTTAATAGCTGCAAAACTATTCCCGTAAAGAAGCAGAAATCTATTTGTTTGTTACATTTTTTTTTTTTAAGTAATATTAAAAAGCAATACTCTTAATCCCAGCTCCAAGGAAGCTGGAGGGGAACTTTGCTCATCGGGAACTGGAGTGCTGGTGTTGGAAAGGATGGGACTTTCCTAATAACTTGACTAATTAATTGTTTTAATTAAATTAAATGGTTTTAATTAATTTAATTAATTTAATTAATTAAATATTGTTATTTTCCACTGTAGCCAGCTGGAGAACCGTACTATTTCACAGGGTTTTTTTGGACACCTGAATGCCTCATTTCCACCCATACAACACCCAGCGGGTCTCCCAGTTCTTAACACACGGACAGTTTGAGTGACTCTTTGAACGGGTAGCACGGCAGCTGCCCGGCACAGCAAGCAGCGATCCCCAACATTCCCTCCGCCCCGAACCCTCCCACCAATCCCTCCATCCTGAACCATCCCAGCGACCCCTCCGTCCTGAACCATCCCAGCGATCCCTCCACAAGGAACATCCCTCAGGGGGCGGGGGAAGGCCGGTGTCACATGACCACTCCCTCATCACGTGACCCACCCTGACCCGGAAGCGGGGCGGGCCGGGGATGCTGACGCTGGAACAAACATGGCGGCCCGCGGCGCTGGGGCCGCTCCGGGGCTGCTCCCGCTCCTGCCTCTCCTCCTGCTCCTGTTCCTGCTCCGCGCCGGCCCCGCCAGCGCCCGCGTACACCACCTCACCCTCAAAGTAAGGTCCGCGCCGCTCCTGGCCCCGCTGGTTCCTCCCCCCGCCGCGCTGGGCTTTCTTAGAGGGAAGCGGTGAGCGCGGCCCGGCCCTGCCCTGAGCGCTCTCCCCGTCTCTCCGGCGCCGTCCCGCTGCCGGCCCTGACCCTTCTCCCTATTCGCTTCGCTCCGGGGTCTCCTCTGCGCCTCGGCCCGGCCGGGCCCGGCTGTGTTGTGCTTTTGCCGTTCCCCCCCCGTGCCCCGTGTCCCCACAGCCCCGGCCCTGCTCCTCTCTGCCGCGGGTTAACCGCTTGAAGAGGCCTCGGAACTGCCGTGTTTTGAAGGTGTAACTGCTTCGCCTTCTGTTAAAAGCGAGGCAGAAGGCTGGGTGTGATGAGCGGGTGGGAAGGCTTCTGAAGGTGGGTTGCGGTTGAATTTCCTCTTAAGTTTGTTCTGCGTTCCTGCCCTGGTCGCCGGCCACTCGACTTTAAAGAATGTTTGGCTGCCTTACTGCCCTTCCAGATGTAGCTGCTTTGCTCTACTCAAGCGATTACCAAAGGCAGGGGAAACTAGTGCTGGCAGCTTTCTGTTTTGGTTCCATGCACTGCTGGATGTGCTTTGGGGGAGCCTCGTGTGGTGCTGTGACTGTTTGGAGGAAAAACTGGTTCTTCAGGGTCGCGGATGGGAAGTTCTGGAGGTCACGGTGAACACGTGCAGCTCCTGTGGTGCTTTGCGTGGAAAGCTGCACAGTTTCTCCATGACAAAGGAATTGTGCCCTTGGGATGGTGCTTCTAAGGGCTTCTGTGTAACTCATGAAGGCTCTGTAAGTCATCAGAATCGTGGTTTTGTTTTGTTTGTCAACAACTTGTGAAGTTTTTCCAGTAGAAAGGTTGGAAGCGCTTAATAAAGTGATAAATGTGTTGCTGTGCTCTTGTACCAGTTGAAGGGGACTGCCCTCTGTGGGAATTCCCCTTCAGCTTTTGGGTTACAGCGACTGCTGGAGGATGTTCATGTCTTATTTATGGGGAATTTTCGAGACTATGTAGTTTAAAATGCAACCACATTAGCGTTGTTCTGCTTCAGGAAAAGCAAGCTTCTCCCTAAAGCAGTAAATTAGGAGGTTTGTGCTGGTTACATTATTGTGCTGAGGAGTTTCTCCCCGAGGGGATCCTTCCCCACTCTGTAGAAAACTTTCAAACTTGCCTCGAGCAGATGTTCTCAGCAGCAAACCTTGTGGCTTCAAGTCTGTTGTCAGGGTGTCCCTTCCTTGCCTGGATCAATTACTAAGCTCTGTTTGCTGTTTTATCCCACCAGAGTGGGGTATGCTTGTAGTTCTGCAGGAGTTTTGTGTGAGTTGTAGCCCTGACCTAACCAGTGCTGTGAGGAGTAGAAGTGAGTTAATGCCCTTTATCCACCCCCTGTATAAACACGAGCCTTATTGTTAGAGCACAGTGTCTCCCTTTCTGCTTCATCCCCATTTACAGCCTTTATGTAAACATCAGGCTCCAACAACTGAGCCCTTTCACGGTGAGGTCTCCTTTCTGCTCTTCTTGCCATGGGCTCCTTCCTTGCTTGTAAATGTGCCTTGAGACTGTGCCAAGCTAAAGGGCTCAGCTTTGTGGGAGTGTTTGGTATTGGGTTTCCTTGAACAAGATGTTATTGCTTAAGTTAGGACAGCTCCTTTCTTGTATCTTTGTAATTAACCTGCTAAGGTGAAGCTCTTTTGTTGTCAGCCAAAAAAAAAAAAAAAAGCAACAGTCTGTGCGATTTCCTGTTCTAAAAATATACAAAATAGTTCATTTCTAAAATTATTTGCTTGAATATTGCTGTTAGACTAACCTTGAAGACGAGACTCTCTTCCTTAGTAGCAATTGTTGTAGCCTAATTAGTTTAATGACACATGAGAAAAACCATCCTAACACCTCATTAGTAACCTAACAAAAAAACCCTACAAAAATTGGAAGTTATGGAAGACTGACAGAAACAATTTTCCGACAGTTCCAGAAGCAGCTGGTGGTTGGAACGTTTCTCTTGACCAAAAACAAGATTTTGTTGTTGTTGTTAACAACAGTTAAATGCCATAACATTGAAGCCTTTTGTTTTGCATAATGCAATGGCAAACTATCCCAGAGAACGAGGGAGTTGGTCTGAGCAAGGCCTTTTGTCAGACAGGCAGTTCAGTTTAATGTCAGTGAGTAACCAAGCTACAGATTCCATGAGAAACCTTCCAGTGATTATAAATAAAAGCTGGGTTCTTTCAACCCCTTAAACCTCCCAGGAGAGGTGAGACCATTATTGGTAAGCCAGTGTCTTTAAGCTGTCAATGTGTGGAGCAGGAGATGCTCTTGCTGTTGCTTGGTGGCAACTGGTGACAGTGTGTTTGTGTGTGGGATCACGTAAAGCTGAAGGATTTGTGAACTAAATCTGTAAACTCTAAGCACTCAAAGCTGAGATAAAACCGGGGAGGAAAGTGATGTGTGTTGTATATTAATTATCTGGTGGTGGCAGCATATCAGTGAACTAATAGAGTAAATACACTTAGATTGAACTGAGCAGCTCTTACAATGCTCTGGATTAAGAAGCTGCTCGTGTTTGCAAGGTGCAAAACACCTTGTGGCTGGATGACACCTTATCCCCCCTTACTCCCCTCACATAATCACCCAGGCAAATGCTCCTCTGCCCAGATGTGGTAAATACTCGTGCTGTGCTCTGTAAAGAGCCAGGATGAATCTTCTGTTCCAACTGGGAAATGACACCCAAAGCAGTGTCAGAGGAACCAGGTGGGTCAGTGACCTAGAACCCAAAGGCAGCAGAGCTGCAATGCTCCGTTGAACAAAGCATCTGCTGGGAGTCATGTGTCACTTAATGCTCAGAAGAGGAAAAAAAAAAAAACCAAACCGTTAAAGGAACCATCTGGTTATTTGCCAGGTTAAGTTGATTCTATTAGGGCAATCTTATTACAGCTGGATTACAGGTTAGGTGTGTCAGGATTAGTGTCCTGCTATCACAGGGAGTGAGATTTATGCATCAGGAATGTTTTCTGCAGAGATGTCAGAATCAATACTGGGGCAGAGGAAGAGAGAACTTTTTGTACTTATACAGGTCTTAGCTCGCTCTTCCAGGCCCTTCTCCAGAACAGTTTATCAGCCTTCAGCAGCTGACTTCTCTTTTTAGGAGATTCTGCAATGTGATTATCTTTTCCTAGAAGAAGCAAGAGGAAGAAACAATTCTTTTTTATTTTTAAAACACTTGACAAGTTGTCACTAAATGACATTTTCAACCGCTTTTTAATTTCTGTTGCTTTGTTTCCGCTTTTCTTCCAATTAATGACCCAGTCGGTCCAAATGCCGACCTATTTATTGAGTTATGAATGCAAAGTAACTGGCATATGACCTTTTGTCATCTGATGTGGCAACTGTGTGTGATGTTGGCTACTTTTCATGTGAGGTCCTTAAAGCTCACTGTACCTGAACCTTTATCAGCTGAGCAAGGCAAGGGATCAATAACTGCAGTTTCCTTGCCAGACTGAGAGGAAGGAAATTATTCTGCAGCTGAGACTGGGAAGAGAAGAGGATGTTGGAATTTTCCTGCTAGAGAAACTAGCCCAAGTTATCCTGGTTTCAATATTTATTCTAGTCTAATTTTAAAATTATTTTTATTTTATGCTAAAAATTATTTGGAGGAAAGGGGCTACATAAGGAACTTTCTCATCCACACCATACACAGTTTGCCATTGTGTGAGGTGCTTGGCTGTCCAAACGTTGACCCTGCCTAAGGCAGATGATCTGATGGGGTGACAGTGCGTTTGCTAAACACTTGGCTGAAACCCAGCTCTGGGTTAGGTAAGATCTAAGATCCCTAAAGTCACCTAATTGCTCTTTAGTCTGTTGCAATGCCAGTAGTCAGTGTTCAAACAAGAGCTGTGTTGATGTATCTACAGTCTTTTTGGTGTTTTTTTTTTTTTTTTTTAGAAGCTGTATGTTGTTCAATCAGATATTTAAATTCTTCCAGACTTTTTGCTTCCACATTTCCCAGTAGTATAGCCAGGCAGTCAGCAAAGACATGTTTAAGTTTTTACTGTTCAGGATATTGGAAAAGTTGATCCATTCCAGCGAAATAATTGGTTATATCTGAAGGTATCCTAAAGAAATTTGCTCTTTGAATACTCATGCAAAACATCTAATTATACAAGTGCCAATCTGTCACCCTGCTTCCCCTTTGACTGCAGCTGCAGATGATTTTGCATGTGATTTGTAATCTTGCTTTCCTTTCTTACAGGATGATGTGAGGCAGAAAGTGCACCTGAATACCTTTGGCTTCTTCAAGGATGGTTTCATGAGAGTCAATGTCAGCAACCTTTCCCTGAAGCCATTGGTGGGCTCTGATGACATGAAGGGTTTATCAGTAAGTTCCTTTGGGTCCAGGGACTGTGGGAAACCTCCCGTGAAATTCCCCTTCACCAGAGACCTTCAGTTGTCTGAGGGGTCGGTTTCCAGAACAGTGACAGTCTTATTTTTAGAGAACTCTAACATTACTTCCTATATTAGGGATTTTAATGGAGAGACTGAAACGCTAGGTTGGAAAGCAGACCTGAGTTCTTACTCTTCTGCACGGTTCAGCTTCCTTATTGCTGAAAGTATTAAATGTTTTTGTCAAGCAAAACCACCTGGAGCAATACTGAAATAAGTTAAAAGGTTCAGGGACACAAGGTACTCTACATGTAGTTTGCTTTTAAATCCATTTTTTTTTTCTTGATGGGTGTGGATGAGGCAGCAAGTTTATTATATTTGAAAATTTTTTTTATGTCTAGTTAGATGATGAAAAAAATACCTGGATTCTGCCTTAAATGTAGGTGGATTTGTTTAGAAAGCAGTATCTTTAACTCTTTCAGTGGTTTGGCTTCAAATTGACAGATTCTTCTCAATTGTCTCATAGGTGGGGTTCAGTTTGGATCGAACAAGGAATGATGGGTTCTCCACTTACCTGGTAAGAGAAGTGAACTTGCTCTTCTAAGCTGGGACATCTCATAGTCTACCATGCTCTGGGAATGGTTGGAAGAAATAAAAAAAAAAAGATGGGAGGAGGACTTTAGTGTGCTGGATGTGAAGGCTAATTTGGTTTTCAACTTGCTGGGTTAAGAATGGTGACTTCTACCTGGAGGGGGGATCATGTCCCATTTCTTATAAACCAGAGAGGGTGCTTCAGAGATGTTTTCCTCATGTTACCAGGATGAAGAAGTGGATTACTGTATCTTGAGAAAGACACCAGAGCCAGATGTCTCTGTTGTAATTTTGCTTCTGGAAATCCAAAGTGAAGTGTGAGTAAATAATGTACATGACATTTTAAAGTTACTTCTTTAGTTGAAGATAATGTAACCCTTGAGATTTCTTTTAGAGCTTGGAAAGCTGCTCTGCATGTAATTTGTTTTTTTTTTTTAAGGGGTTACTTGAGAGTAAAAGTAAGAAATCTGCAGTGTAAAGTGCTCCAAGAATTCTTGCTGCATGTTGGAGGGGAAAGGGGGACATCAGGTGACAGCAACCTACCTTAACTGTGCTGAAGGAATGAACTTGAAGTCTCGGGTCACTTTTGCAGCTCTTGCACTGAATGTGCCATTTTATTGACTTGAATTATCTTATTTTATGGAAGTATCTTTGGGGGTGGGTTGCTTTTTCTTGCAAGAATAACCCAACTGTTTGTGTGGAAGCACAGTTTCTAAGGAGACTCTGGTTGCCAAAGCTGAAGAACTTGATTTTCTTCTGCTGTTGCTGTATTTGATGTAAAGTGTGACTTTTCCCACAGTTCAGTGCCATGTTGCTGTAAGTCATGATCTGATTCTCACCTTTTCTCTATGGTAAAAAATACAAGTCAAGAAAAGTTGATTTTCCTTTATTTGGTATAGCTAGGCTGTGACAAATAGCCTCTTTATAAATGTTATTTTACTTTCAATATGTAATAAAACCTCTTTGTTTTTGTGTTTTTTTTTTTTTTTTTAGTGTGAAGGTACGGTTCTCTGCAGAAGCTGCTTCTTTGTTACCCAAAATTTCATTCATATCTGAGACAAATGTTACTGCCTCAAGTACCAAAAAAACTTCTGAACCAAGCAGTGATTCTGGTCAAAACCCCCCAAAGACCCACGAAAATACAGATGGGAAAGGTAAGACAACTAAACCTGACCTGTGTGTGCTCTCTCTGCTCATCCCTCATTGCTGTGCATCCAAGATTGTGTTGTGGTCACGTTTTGGGGTCCCCTTGGGCTGGAACTCAGTGCACATCTTGTGTAAATCTCTGCACAGAGCTGCCTTTTGGGCTGGGGTCTCTCCTG